GCTGGCTGGGGAATTCTGGGAGTTGAAGTCCTCCAGGCTTAAAGTTGCCAAGGTTGGAGACCCCTGCGTATAGTTTTAAATACTAGTTTCGTTGCTTAGTTTGAATTCTTGAAAGGTATATGTTTTTATTGGGGCATTGCCCGTAAAGCTCTGCTAGGTGGCAGCAGAATGTTACAATAAGCCATGCCGGATCTGAACAGAACAGAGAAGACAATCCCAGGACATAGGACGTAAACAAAAAACAAAACACGGAAGACGTTTAAGTGGACACGTCCGTGAAGTCACAAAAGTCGACGAGAAGCAAATTCGTCCATCATAGCTCATTAGACTGGAATTTATCCTGGAATTTATAATACCCGTGGCTTCTCTTCAGTTTTCCGGGTGTCCGAGTTTTCGAGACAAATTCTCCCAGAAATATATTCTTAATGGAAATGCTCCTTTCTTAACTCCCCCAAATGTGAAAGATGAGCCTCGTTGATACCGACGATTGCTTCTTCTTCTTTTTTTTCCCTGAGCAAAGCGTCAAGAAAAGACTCCAAGTTACTGCGCGGCGAAGCGATTTGCACTCCAACTCCAGCTCTATGGTTATCGCTCCAGGAAGTGTCATGGAGCCCTTTTTCGTTCGGCTCTGTTCCTGTGGAAACGGTTGCTATGTGGACGGCGTCGACAACCTTCCCAGGCGGCGGCAGAGACCAAGGTGGCCGGCCGCAAGATGAATCAATCGGTGACCGTTGTTCGGCCGCTGGACCACGCTGGGATCCGGTATCGCAGGAAGATGGCTCCCAACCGGGCTTTTGATTTCCTTTATGGTAAGTAACCAAGGGGACGCTGATGGGGCTTGCTTTTCTAGAAGTGAACTTTTCGGGAACCGACAGGCTTGATTTGCAGGGTCCACTGAGCCACAAACCAGCCAGCCCATTTTAGTCCCGTTTGAGAAGTAATTCTGTGGTTCGGTATATTCTGGACTAAGAAAATTGGTTTGGTCTTCCTAATTAAACTTAAGAATAGGTAAAAACGTCCTGAAATCAGTGCCACTGAGAATTAGTAGTTATAAAGTCCATCTTAAGAGCATATAGTCCCAATGGGAACCTGTACAGTAGAGGAGAAATGACAGTTGTGCTTTTGTATGGAAACAGGACCAGACTTACCATAGTATGGACTTTTCAGCCCATCATAGGTATATATATATCCTAATTTTTTCTATTACAGGTAACCCTCCACTTGCAACCATTTGCTTAGTGACTTCACGGTTACAATAGCACTGAAAAAAAGGGTCTTACGACCAGTTTACCATGTCCTCATGGTCATGTGATCAAAATTTGGGTACTTGGCATGTATTTATGACAGTTGGACTCCCCTAGGGTCATGTTACCATTATTTGTAATCTTCTCAGCTGGCATCAACAAGCAAAGTCAGCAGGAGGAGCCAGATTCACTTAGTGATCACATGTTTCACTTAACTGTGGTGCAAGGAGTCATAAAATGGGGCAAAACTCACTTAACTGTCTTGCTTAGCAATGAAAATTTGGGGCTCGGTTGTGGTTGTAAGTAGAGGACTATCTGTGCTGTAATTGTTATATACCATTCACACTCAAAATTAATCTATGTGATAGGCACTGATCATTAACTTTATATGATCGTTATGGATATTATAATTATAATTGACTTGATTGTGAGTGGTACTTCTTAAACCATATTTCCATAACAAACTAAGTCACAAATTTTTCATCCTAACATTCTGGTTTTTCTGCTTTTGACTTTATAATAATGTTCTGTTTGTTAAAGTTTGAGTTCATTTGCAAATACTTACCTATAGATTAATTTTTACTTGCTTTTTATGCATTGTTTACTGTTTCATTGAATGACTTGATTGCTTTTGCATTTCTCTACTCCACTTTATTTATAAAAAGACAAATAAATATTAATAAAAGCAACTGAGAATTCTCAAGGTAACATCACATACCTACTTCATCTTTAAATTAAAATTGAAGACATATTAGAAAGTTATGAATAAATGCATGCTTAACAGGATTGTATAGAATAACATACTTTGTTAAATTTATTAAAGTGTTTCCATTTCTGTATATGTATTTTAGATCCATTGTATGAGCTGTCAAGTGAAAAAGATCATGCACAGGCAAATGTCCAAGCTCATCTTATTCATGATGAAATGGTAGGTGATTATAGTTTAAAACTATTTTTCAGAGCACTTGTGTTTCTGTGAAAAATACCTTGCTGTTGCTAGGTATTTTTGAAATCTAATAGGAAATATAACTTTTTTTAAAAAGCATTGTTTCTACCTATATCTACACATATCATGTAGATATAGAATTTGCATGATTTCTTTGAATAATAATTTGAGATGCTTATGTAAACAGAAATTTCCAACCTTTTTAGTACAAAGAAATGTAAGTAGTCCTGAACTTACAACAGTTCATTTAGTGACCATTCAAACTTACAGTGGCACTGAAAAAAGTGACTGATGACCATTTTTCACACAGCCATTGCAGAATCCCTATGGTCACATGATCAAAATTCAGACATATGGCAACTAACTCCTATTTATGATGATCGCAGTGCCCTGGGGTCACGTGATCATCTTTTGCAAACTTCTAACAAGCAAAGTCAATGGGAAAGCCAGATTCACTCAATAACTGTATTACTAACTTCAATCATTCATTTAACAATTGTGCCATGAAAGGTCATAAAATGTGGCAAAAGTCACTTAGCAATTGTCTTGCTCAGAAATGTTGGGCTCAGTTGTGATTGTAAGCCAAGGCACCTGAATAGTGGAATATATTGTATGTATGTATATATGTGTATATCCAACAAACATAAAACTATTAACTATCCATAATGCAACTCTTCAATAATTTTACACATTACTTGACATATGCAGTAGAGCAGAAAATAAAATTTGACAATTTTAAAGGTACTAATTAGTATAGTTTTAGTTTACTTGTAAAGTTTTACTAGAGAGAAAATTCTGTTTCACAAGCAGTTATCTTTGTCTGGAAGGTATGGTAAATCCTGTACTGGCAGTTGAATATTTTAGTTATTTAAACAGTCTAAGAATAAACAAGTTCCAAAACAAACAAACAAAAACCACAAAAAACCACAAAAAAGAGAGCCCAAGTCTTAATATTTTCTTCATATAAATGACTTAAACAAGTAGATTCTTAAAAAGTTTGACAATTATCATATGTAGAATTATATTTGTATGTGTATATCATCATTATATACAAATACAAATATAATTCTACTTACGATAATTGCCAAGGTTTTTAAGAATCTACTTGTTTCATATAAGTCATTTATATGAAGAAAATATTAAGACTTGGGCTCTCATTTTTGAAGATGCTGAAGACACTGCCATGGATAGGATTCATTGGAAGAAACTTGCTGCCCTATGTGCTTCCTGCAAAAGGAACCAACGATGATGATGAATTATATTTGTATTTAAGCCTTAGATATAACATAATGATATATAATGTTGCACTTCTGTCTTTTTCATATAAAAAGAGGAAAGTACCAGAATTTAAAGCCATGTTTAGTAATTTGATTCACTATCCATCGTACTTTGTGCAATTAGAAGAAAAAAATCCAGTTCCTCCATTCATTGATCGAAGATGGAGAGGAAGGGCACACCAACGCTTTGAGACTTTTCAGCAACTTGTGGTGTAAGTGTTCTGATATTTTATATTAGTTACATGATGATTCAGGATACTGTTAGCGAATGTTGCAACCAAGTCTGCAGTTTAAATTTGATTTGAGAAATGCTATCTCTGGAATGAGCAACTGTTAAAGCATGAAAAACAGATCAGTTGAGGAAAGCTATGTAAATGTGACCCAGCTACATTGGGCTGGGCATATGGTTCCTAGTATATAAGAAATATTTCTTGAAAAAGTTTCACCATTTTCACTTCAAGGTGTTGTTGGTAGTTACCTACTGAAACCCCACTAACTTTTAAAAAACAAACTTTGTAAGAGATTAGTGTTACATTTCTCTGAAATATCAGATTCACTAATAATTTGTATGTATTATTTTTCTGTATAGAACCCCAGCTTCCCTTCAGGTGCCCAGAATTGAATATGAAGATCCTGAAGTTAATGGAAGGAATCGCTGGAAATATTTTGAACGGTGGGAAACATACAAATTAAATCTCAACGACCAAATTAATAGCTATTGCCAAAATACATTAGAAATGAAGATTCTTTCCTAATTTCAATTACCCCCTGCCCCAAGTACTTATAGCTTGAGCAGCGTCTTAATCAGATGCCTTAGTTAAAGGTAAATCTGACATGATGTAGGATGGTTACAAGAGGTCATGTGTGTTGTAAGGTACAATACTAATTGTTTTTAACATTTAAAATATGTTCAAAATATTTTACTCTCTGAAACTTGTAAAATTTTGACACATACACACACACACAGTAACATGTTTGAAATGAAATTTGAGAATGAAAAATGTATTTTTGTAATAGCTAAGAGAGACTACTGATTATATATTTATTTTTAAGCAAACTTTTATTCAACTACAATCAAGAAATTCTACAAAATGATTTTAGGATAGATTTGGGATGATAATATGAACTGTTATAAAATAAACTAAGTAAATTATGATTATCTTGTAAAACATGAATGAATAAAAGTATAGTCAAATGATTGATTAATAATGATACTAAGGTATTTAATTTTTGATTGAAAATATGAGATTATATGCAATGTAATTGTAATTGAAGACTACAAAATGGAAGCACAAAACAATTTGTAAACCAACCGGCACACTGTATGTACACATATGGAAGATAGCTTGATGTTTTTATGTTTTGTTTGTTTATGTTTGTTTTTAAAAACCAATAAAATTTAAAAAAAGAAATTCCACAGTTTTCAATGTATACATAAAATAAGAATTAAAATATCCATAGACAGGTTAAAACCAGTTAGTTATTGAAAAGAGGTCAGTTAGGTAATATGTAGTTGCTGGTGAAATAAGAGTCTGGGGGATTATAAGTGAAGAAATATCCTTTTTGTTTCATTGGTTTATTCTTAAATTTGTGTTTATTTTTAGACCTTTCATCCCATTTGATAAGCCAATTCCACTGAATGTTGTTTATGCAATGTCAAAGTAAGTAATAAACCAGTATGTTTATGTTTAATCACTGGAATGATGTTTTTTCATATCTCAAGAAATTAGTTTTTCTAATAATTAAATTAAAAGGCATGAAAACAGCCTAAGACAAAATATTGTTAAGCATAGGGAGGCACACACAGATTCTCCCCAATCCCTGGGATGCTGATATGAAGTACATACGTCTTTCAGTGGTGGGATTCAAATTTTTCTACTACAGTTCTGTGGCAGTGGCTTGGTGGGCGTGGCAAGGGAAGGATACTGTAAAATCTCCAGTCAGTGGTGGTATTTGCCGGTTCTCCAAACTACTCAAAATTTCTGCTACTGGTTCTCCAGAACTGGTCACAACCTGCTGAATACCACCTCTGATGTCTTTATATCCTAGGAGGGAAGATTGGGAAAATGAATCAATATGTGTGTGTGTTGCATTATATTAAAAACAGAATCCAGGGACAGCAAAATATTGAGGAAAGTAATTTATAAAATGAAATAACAAGATTAAGAAGGTTTAGGAATGATGGAATGTAATATTTTTGAACCCCTTAGTAACATTGTGGAATGACAAAGCATATTATAATGTGACATAACTAAAATCTTATTTTAATCATGTAGGAACTTTTGAAAGATGTTGTTTGGTTCCTTGCATTTTAGGTCAGAGCTACAGTCTCATCCAGCAAAATCCAAAGACAAACCAGCCTATCTCATTTCACGAACCGTGGAAACACAAACAGATTATCGGGATGGTGAAGCTCAGACAGACCCATATAGCCCTGAATACATAGTTCCTTCAGGTTCAATACCTGAATTGTTAACTCTTGCCACGTTGACTTGGGGTGAGTTTAAGACCTGATGAACACAGGGTACAATGTTTTTCTGTAATATAATTAAGTTCCCATGACATCACCTTTCATACCTTTGGCTTTCAAAAAAGAAACAACATCAGATATCTATTACGAGGGCACTTAAGACTTTTATCAATTCCAATAGCCAGGGTGCTTACAAAATTCATTGACTTAATTTGTGTTAGGAGCTCTATCCCTATTTGCCTGTCTGCCATTCTTCCAATCATTCTCCTGTCATTGACCATTTAATAGCTGAGTAGTAAAGTTACAGAAATATAATGGAAGCAGGTGGAGATTTTAAGAATGGTCACATCCTACTCCATTTCTGCAGTATGTATTATGAGAGTCTTGGCTGTCTTTTCCAGAATTAGCCACTGGAGCAGAAATAAAAGTAGTTTCTGCTGCTGATCCATCTGTCAGAATGGAATAGACAGTTGGCTAAGCAAATCATAGCTCCTAAATGTTTGTTTGGCTGATCTGTTTTGGAGTTTCACAAACCTGTGCTCACGTGACCTGTCAGTTTTTATTTTACCTTTGTGCACACATACACACACAATATATTTTTTTTAGTTACCAAAATTGTTGATACTATTATCTGATGTATAAAACTCTGTTTTACAGTTAAGTATCTTCATCAGTGCATACATCTTGTCATCTGAAAGGAAGATACTATCTGGTTTCCCCACATTTATATATTGCCTATCTTACTATCCAAACTGAGAAAAAAATGTAATGTTTTGCCGTGTTCTAATTTACAAACAGGAAATAAAGAAAAGTAAACTGAAATACATCTGATTCAGCTCTAACAATAGAAGATTGTTGTAGATTTTGGCTATTCTGGATAGTCTCTGATTGTAAATTTCACATTAATTATAAAATAAAGGGGTTTCATACCTAAATGGCATAGCAGAGAGCAAGCTCCCAAAAGAAGGCGATAGAACAAAGAAATTAGGATCTTATTTCACTTAATCATATTATTAAAACATTACTATGAACAATATTATTTTTGTATATAGCTCCTCTTTAAAAATTTGGCATAGAGCAAAGTGAGACAATGATGTAATTCCCCTTCTGCAGTCTGTACAATTCATATCTAGAGATGAATGGTCAACTGGGAAAAATTGCTTTTCTCTTTCAGTATACTTAATTTCCAGGATATATTTATTTATTTATTTGATTTGTCAATCGCTTACAAAATAATAGGTATAAGTATAAACATGAGTAAGAATACAGGAAATAGGTACGAATAAATGGGGACAATAGGACAGGGATGGTAGGCACGATGGTGCTAGAAAATTATAGCGATTGAGATCTTGAAAAGGATTGAGTACCATCACAAAATCAGAACCTGCTCCAACATTTCAAAATCATAAAATAATCTCAAATACTATTAAAGGGTTTGCTGCAACTCTTTATAGCAACTGTGATTATTGGAACTCAATTGGTAAATGTAGTGTCAATCTCCCTTTTTTTTTCAGTCTACCCAATTGCTGAGCTCTTTTACAAAATTGCATTTTTTAAAAAGCAGTTTGGATGAAAGATGGTGAAAATCTTATCAAATTGCAAGTGACACTAAAATAGATGGTATACTTTTTATGTTAGAAGATAAATAACATTCAAAATGTATTTGGTCAGTGAAGTAGGCAAAGTTTACCACATGGAATAAATAAATGCAGAGGCATAGATTGCTTGCTAATGATATGTATGAAAAAGTTCTTGGAATTATAATTTATCTACAGCTAAATATTAAGTCAATAGTATGATGTGATTTCAAGCAAACATCCAAATAATGTTTCTTTTGCTGGGCATTACACTCTAAGAACAATAATTACAACAGGGCAATAATTACAATCAAAAAGCCGGAAAATTAAGTTCAGTGAAAGAAGATTGAAGGAGCTGGGAGGGTTTAGAGTTGAGAAAATATGACTGCAGTGGGATATGGTTATACTCTTTGAATACACTCCCAAAATGCATTAGAAGCAGGTTAAGATAAAGAAGATTTAGATAAAGAAGTCTAACAAAAGGGATCAACAGAATATAAAAATTACCAAGCAAATTTAAGGAAGTTGATTTGTTTAAATTTTAAGATAAATCACTGGAGAAGGGATATGACACTTTTCAAACATATGTAAGGAATAAAACAATGGTTTTGTATTATAGGAAGGTAGATTCCAGTTTCCATATTATGAAAAGCTTAGTAGCAGTAAGAAGGGTTTGACAGGAATGGGTGGATGCTTTACTTTGGATTTCAGCATTGAGGGAGAGATTGAATATGATGGTTTAAAATGACTTCTAATCATTTATTTTTCAATACTTCAAGGGGTAATTTTAGCTTTAGAATTTTGCACTACACTAGAATTTAAAATAATATTTTGGCTCCTATGCTTCACAATACTGTATTTTGAGCCTTCTGTCTGCTTATTGTTTCCTGTTCTTTCAAGGTCATGGCCTTCCAGCAACTCAAGCAGAAGTAGAAGTAATTGAACGAGCCCGGGAGAAACGAGCCTGGGAGGCCACTCTTCCACCACTGAATGATGCTGCGCACATTGCAAAACGGAGGAAAATGATGGAGGAAATGGAGAGAAAAGAGTGGGCCTTTCGGGAGGAAGAAATAGAAGAGTAGGTAGTTTTTATCTTCCTATGTTCTTACCCCCATCCTTGGCAGACGTGGTAATGGGAAGTGTGTGTTATCTGAATACTTCTTGGCCCCAAAATGCCATGGTTCAAATCATCTACATGGTCAGCATGCTGTATATTTGGTTTCTGGATTTATGATGGCCAGCTGTATTCTGCTAAACCAAGGGTGTCAAACTCAAGGCTTGCGGGCCGTATCCAGCCCAAAGGGTGTTTAGATCTGGCCTGTGGGGCCACCCTGGAAACAGCAAAGGAATGGTGCGTCTACCAGTGAAAACAGAGCTCGGGGGGGGGGGCACTTGCAGTTCCCTCGAACCCTGTTTTCGGTCATGACGGCCTCCTGCAGCCCTCTGCAAGCGAAAATGACCCCCCAAGCCAGGGCCTGTTTTCACTGGTAGAGAGTTGCAGGAGGCCGTCGCAGCTGAAAACAGGGCCCGGGGAGACGGTGCACAGCCCCCCTAAGCTCTGTTTTCGCTGGCAGAGAGCTAGCAAAACAAACTAAAAACAAAAACAAAAAGAGAAATGTTTCCCCTTTTGCACTTGAACATCCAAGAAGGAAAGGAGAAAGGGAAAGAGGAAAGAAAAAGAGAAAGACAGAAACATGGGAAGAGAACAAAGAAGGAAAAATAAGGAAAAAGGGAAGGAAGAAGAAAGGAGAATGAAGAGGGAAGGAAAAGGAAGAACGGAAGGAAGGAAGGAAGGAAGGAAGCACTTGGCACTTGGCCACCACAGGTGCCCCACACACAAGTGATGTTGAGCTGGCCATGCCTACCTGGCCATGCCTACCCCAGCTATGCTCCTCCCCCCGAGGTTAAACACAACCCTGATGTGGCCTTCAATGAAATCAAGTTTGACATCCCTGTGCTAAATGGAAGCAGTAATATATAATTAGAATAAAACATCGAAGAGGCAATACTTACAATATGTGTAAGCTTCTGGGTTTCTTAAAATTCTTCAAGCGAAACGCTTAAAAGAAAGACAGGAATTTTTGGCTGGTTATGAACTGTCCATATATAATTTGCATTCTGAAATGCAAATGCAGTTGAAATGTTATCCAAGGCCTTATGATAGAATATGGTGCTAACTTACAAGAAGAGCATTCTGTAAGGATTTTGGGAGGTACACAATCCTTTGTTTTTTTTAAGCTCCCATTGTTATATATAAATTTCAGCAACTGAAAAACACACAGTAACTATTTCTATTGGCTGTGTGTGTGTGTGTCTTCAAATACATTTTTGTCAGTTTTCTAGTCAGGCCTTTTCAGAAGTGGTTTGCTATTGCCTCCTCCCTAGTGGCTAAAACAAGTGACTGGCCCAAGGTTATCCAGCTGGCTCTGTACCTAAAGTGGGACTAAAACTCATAATCTTTTGATTTCTATCCGCATATCTTAACAAATACACTGATTATTTCTCTTGGTTACTGGAAACAGAAATAAGCTTGATAGTATCTATATTTGTAGGCCTGGAAATGAATTTATTAGATAATATGAGTTAATCAAAGTCAAACCCAATGATTATGGAAAGCCCTCTTTTTATGTACAATATTCACTGTTGAGATTGCATGCTATGTTATAATATAAATATTTATAGGATTAGACACAGCATAAGAGAGATTGATGTTAAACTATATGCAGTCTATTAATAGTGCATTATCCTGTCAGATGTTTAGTGATCTGCCTTTTGGGTTCTGCAGTCTCAGTAAACAGGTTTTTTAAAGTTTTTGGCAATGCATGATTGGTGCTACACAGTACTCTAGCTATTTGCTGTAGACATCTAAATTATGTTATTATTGATTTCTTATACACTATTTCCAATATCAGATTTTAGTAGACTTTCACATAAAGTTCTCTTGAGAATATACTTTATATCTTCTACATAAAGAACTCATGATTATTCCTTTTTACAGATAAAGGATATAATAATATTTATGCTTATAATAAATGGACATGTATTTGCTCTTTTGAAGACTGCAAGAAGTGAGACTAAACCTTCTAAAGGCCTTGCTGATGAAACGAGAAGAGAAGCACAATGAATTAAATGTCAGTTGCTTAGATGCACACTGGTTTAAACTTATGCAAGAAAAAGAAAAGAAAGTGAAAAAGATTCAACACGAACACATAAAAGGTATGGAGCAAAATCATTAGATAATAAGTATATTCTCAAGAAAGCTGAAATTCCTAGCATTAATTTCTGTCTGTCAAGTGCCCAGTATCCACAAAATAATTCCTAATTATTATCCATGAAATAATCCCTAATATCTGATCATAATTTTGAATCTATAGAAATATGACAAGGATACCAAGGTAATTTTTCATTGTCAAAAAGTCAAAGAATCTTGACGTCTACAAATGCTATATGTAGAGTTGTTTTTTGTTTCTGAGACTATTCTTCAACCAAATAGTTTAATGCTAGGTACATGATAGAATGCTTATCTTCAAAGTCAATTTCATCTTCTGCCAACTTATTCTCAGCACTAAATTAGTGTAATAACTTCCAGTATAGATGTCCGGTGTAGATTATATTAATACCTAAAGGTCTGAAAGGACAATAATTGGTTAGAGCTGTCCACTAGGACAGCAACACAACATGGCTAGGACTGCATCTTTATAGTAATTAATGAATTCATTGCAGTTGACCGTGTTTGTAATTGCCTGTTTATATCTCCACATTCCTGCTCTGGGAAACCTGGCTGCTAACAAAAATGCAACAAGATGTTTCATTATCTCATTCTTAGCAAATGGAAATAGTAGTAGCCATATCTCAGTCTTCAAGGAAATGAAGAGGTCAGTTGTTATATTTAAAACTGATGTAATTTTATCTGCAATTTATTTACAGCAATCAGAAGATTAATAGCCAAGGGAAAAAATGTAGAGGGAAAACTAGAGAGAAGAAATGTAATTAAGGACTATACTGAATATGAATCACAGCCTTATGCTCCATTATCAAGAATTGGCTACTTTCCAGATAATAATGCAGATCGTTATGTAGTGAAGAATTCCTTTCTCAACACCTATGAAGGTGAGCCATGTTCAAATTCATTCATTCATTCCAGGATCACTGTGTCCTATACAGAGCTGCCAGTGTGGGAAGTTAGATTCACATGCATCCTTGTGCATTAGTACTCCATTGAAACAAATAGAAATACTCTTATGGATGAGAAAAACTCCATTTATGAAGGAGTCACCTTGGACAAAAGAGGTTAGTTCTCTTGCATCGATGTTAAAACATACCTTCTAGTTTCTATGTACATCTTCTATTTTTCTCAGGATTACTTGAATTAGAAGCATTTCTGCCTGATTCCGTTACACAGCCCCGAACTGAAGCTCCAAAACCGAGAAGCTTAACCACAAAAGATGGATTCACTAAGCGGTCTGCTAGATTAGAGATGGAATTAGCACAGGTTTACCAGGTATTTTATTTTCTGTCAGGCCATTTCAACTTTTGGTGCATGACATCCACAATATGTGGCCTTTTTGGTTTTGGGAATGTAACTTGTAGTAAGAAATCAAGAAAAATTATAGATTCAAAACATGCCAAAAACATGTTATTTATTGCTAATTTTCAGTGTTATATTATCTTCTCTCATTCTGTTTTCATTTCTATTTCATACAGTCTTTTAAACTGGGGAAAAACATTATATTTTCTCTAGGTTGTCTCCTCAAAATTCCTTTTTATTACATTGTAAAAATATAGGAAATTTCAATCAGAGATTGTCTATAAATATAGTAAAATGTATGAGTAATTTTATTTACTATGAACATAGTAAATAAGAAAATAATGTTGGGGCCAATTAGATACAGACTGATTTTTCATATTATACAACTTTTCCAGACACTGCAAGACAGAAAAGAACATATTAAGGAGCCACGCAAGCCACTACGTTTTCTTCAGAGGTTATCAAAGATTTTGCCTCGCCCACCCACTCCAGAATTGGAAATACCTTCACTAGTAGGTTATTATTACCTTTTATTGTCAGAGTACAACATGTGTACAATGAGATTGGTTGAGCCTCCCTTCATACACCCCCCACACACACACACAACTCACAGTGAGGACAGGAGTCCCTAACCCAGACCCAATCTTATTACCTTATGCGACCTTGTTGCACAATGCGCCGGCCCCGCAAGTTTTGTTGACACGAAGTTATTTTCTGTTCAGAAGTCTGACAGCCCACAGGTAGAAACTGTTCTTCAGCCTGTTGGTGCGGCTGGCTATGCTTCTATATCTTCTACCTGATGATAGGAGAGTGAAGAAGTGCTGACCAGGGTGTGAGTCGTCCCTGAGAATTTTCCTCACTCTTCTAAGGCAGCGAGCCCTAGCAATGTCGTCTAGTGGTATCAGGGAACAGACCACGATGTTTTGTGCTGTGCTCACCACCCTCTGTAATGTCTTTCTATCCATGGCTGTCAAGCCAGCATACCACACCGTAATACAATATGAGAGGACACTTTCTGTTGTGGATCGGTAAAAGGAGGTAATCAATCATTGTTCCACTTTATTCTTTCGCAAGACCCTAAGGAAATGGAGTCTCTGTTGGGCCTTTCTGACCACCTGGGTTATGTTGATTTTCCAGGTGACATCTTCGCTGAGGTAGAACCCCAGGAATTTAAAGGAGGAAATTCTCTCCACACAGCTCCCCTCTATGTAAAGTGGGGCGGGTTCCTCTCTCTTCTTCTGGAAGTCTAACACCATTTCCTTTGTCTTGCTGAAGTTTAGGTGCAGGTTGTTTTCTAGGCACTATGAGGATAATTTTTGAACCTCCCCCCTGTATGCTTTTTCGTCTCCACCTGTAATGAAACCCAATACAGTAGTATCATCTGCGAACTTAATGATCACAGTGGATGGGTCAGATGATACACAATCATGTGTGTACAGTGAGTACAGTTAGGGACTGAGCACCCAGCCCTGTGGGAAGCCAGTGCTAAGCTTCAGGGAGGTGGATGTGACAGACCCAGCCCTCACTGTTTGTGGTTGGTCCCTCAGAAAGTCTTTGATCCAGTTGCAGGTGGAAGAGGAAAAATCCAAGTCAGTCAGCTTTTCGATAAGGATGCTTGGCAGAATAGTATTGAAGGCTGAGCTGTAGCATACTGACATAGTTCCCGGATTTCTCCAGATGGCTCACTACAGAATGTAAGGCAGTAGCTATGGCGTCGCCTGTCAACCTGTTCCCCTGTATGCAAATTGATGTTTGTCAAAGTCTGGTGGGAGGCATGCCCTAAGGTGTTGGAGAACCAGTCTTTTGAACACAGCATTGACTGTGTTCCTCGTGTTGCCCTTATAGTTAGTTAGGTGCTGCAGTCCTTGCCACACTTGCTTCAGGTTCTTATCTGCTAGGTGGTTCTCCATCTTATATTTGTATTGTTGTTTTGGCATCTTAATGCCTCTTCTAAGATTTGCCCTGGCCTCTCTCTATATATCCCTGCCCCCTGCCTTAAAGGCAGAATCCTGGGCTCTCAGAAGCGTCTGTACCTCGGCAGTCATCTAGGGTTTACAATTCCCCTAGACTGCGATGCACTTGTCCTTTGCTACACTGTCAGTGCATACTTTGATGTAAGAGAGTACAGTGTATCAGTGTATTCATGCAGGTCTTGATGTTCAAATATACTCCACTCAGTGGTTTAAAAACAGTCCTGCAGCTGACTGAGAGCACCCTCTGGCCAGATTTTAACCGTTTTCATGACTGGCTGAGGTGTAGTGTTGATTGTAAAAGCTTGGCTTAGTTCTAAAATCATTTATAGGTGGAACCTATTATTGCATATGGATGCAGGTTAGAAGAACATACGTGAGATCATCATCAGGTTTCACATCAGATATAAGCTCAGATTGACAAGGAAGGATAAAACACCAGTAGCACAGATGAAGTGAAGTGGGGGTGGAACAGAAATACATGTACAAAAGATGATCACAATCTGAAAAGGTGGCAGGATAATTAGGAGGAAGAAAGCCAGAGAGTATGCATTTCTCATGTAAGGATGACAGGATGTTCAAACCAAAAAAGCCGGGTTGGTCCATAGGGGAGTTGCAGAACACCAAGAGTCAGATAATAGAATCCCCAAATCAGTGAGCTTCCAAATGAAATCTAGTTTACTTTCTTATATTTATGCTTCTTTTATTGCTGCCTCTTTTTCTTCACAATCTCCTTTAATGCTGAAATTTCCTCCATTCAGATCACCACTTACTGTTACATTTATTATTACTCTGATTCTCTTTTAATTTTAATTCCAATATGTACTTCCTAAAGACAATTTTAAGTTTTTCTTTTTATTGTTTTATTTGAGACTACCAAGTGGAGCATATTCAAACATTTTGAGCTGCAAGAATACACTGATGCTGTTCTCTCATATATTACAACATACACAGACAATGTAACAGTGAATAAGAGCATCAGAGTTTACAGTTACCATAAATCCTGGATGTCAGCAGAGGTACAATCACTCCTGAGAACCCGAAACTCCACCTTCAAGGCAGGAAACAAAGACGAATACAACAAGGCCAGGGCAAACTTTAGGAGAGGCATCAAGGCAGCTAAACAGAAATATAAACAAAAGGGAGAGAAGCATCTGGCAGATGAAAACTCAAGACAGGTGTGGCAGGGGCTACAACATCTAACCAATTACAAGGGCAATACGATAAAAACAGCCAAAGTTGATGCCATGCTGGTGGAGGAGCAGAATAGCTTCTTCGCGCGGAGGATAATTGACCTGTCTCTGTGGCTCTAGCCCAAAGGCCCTCTAATTTCCAGCCACTCACCTTGCATGAACATCAAGTGAGAGCTGTGTGAAGGCCGTAAATCCCAGAAAAGCTGCAGGTCCAGACAGGGCGCTGGGGATAGTGGTTAAAAACCTGTGCTGACCAATTAATAGGGGTCCTGACAAGAATCTTTAACATCTCCCTACAATTGGCTAGAGTTCCATCATGCTTGAAAGCAGTCAGTTCCAGTTCCGAAGAAAGCAGCTATAAACAGCCTGAATGATTATAGACCCATTGCACTGACATCTATAGTAATGAAGTGCTTTGAGAGACTGGTCTTACAAAAACCTCAGATCCTGTCTTCCATTGAATTTCAATCAATATCAGTTTCCTTATAGAAGCAACAGGTCGATAGAGGATGCCATCGTCACTGCTGTACATACTACATTGAGACACCTTGATAATTATGTCAGAATGCTTTTTATAGACTATAGCTCGGTCTTTAATACCATCTTACCAGGCATCCTCACTGAAAAGCTGAATGACCTGAATTCCCCTCCCCTCACTTGTGATTGGATTAAAAACTTCCTGAAGGATCATCCTCCACCCTGAAGCTCAGCACAGGCTCCCTTCAGGGCTGTGTGCTCAGCCCCTACCTGTACTCGCTGTATACACATGACTGCATATCCTCTGATCCATCCAACATCATAACAAAGTTTGCAATGCTGCTGGGTCTTATAACTGGAGGGAACAAATCAGCATACAGGGAAGAAGTCCAGAAGCTGTCCACGTGGGGTTTAAAAAACAACTTACTTTTAAACACTACAAGACAAAGGAGATGGTGCTGGATTTCCAGAAGCACAGAGAGGAACCTGCCCACTTTATATCAAGGGGGGCTGCATGGAGAGGGTTTCCTCTTTTAAATTCTTGGGAGTGCTTATTAGTCAAGACCTCACCTGGAAAAATAACACGTCCCTGGTGGTTAGGAAGGCTCAACGGAGACTTCATTTCCTTAGAGTCCTGTGGAAAAATCAGGTGGAACAACGGCTGATGACCTCTTTCTATCGGTCTACGATAGAAAGTGTCCTTACATACTGTATAACGGTATGGTACGCTGGTTCAATAGCTGTGGACAGAAAGGCACTACAGAGAGTAATTAATTTGACACAAAAAACCATTGGTTGACCCTTAACACCACTAGATGACATCGCCAGGTCTCATTTCAGCAGAATAAGGAAGATACTTAGGAACGATTCACATCCTGGTCAGTGTCTTTTCTCACTTTTACCATCAGGCAGAAGACACAGAAGTATAGCCAGCCAGACAAACAGGTTTAAAAACATGGGCTGCCAGACTCCTAAATACAACTACAATCACTCCATGCATACATGGAAACATATGACGGGTTTTTCCCTAATTAGTTGTATAAGATCCATTTTCTATATTATTCGTGTTGTATTTTTGTTATGGTTAGCACCAGCAGAAGCAAAATCAATTTCATTGTATATATGTACAATGACAATAAAGTTATTGTTGTTGTTAGTCACTATTTGGCTAATTATTTATTATTTATTTGCATCCCATATTTATCATTTCTATAAATAACTCAAGGCAGCAAACATATCCAACACACTTTTCCTATTTTCCCCACAACAACAACCTTGTGAGGTGCATTGGGCTGAGAGAGAATGACTGGCCCAAAGTCACTCAGCTGGCTTTCATGAGTAAGGCAGGATTTAGCTTTGGGGGTAATTTAGGTACCAAGTGCAAATTAAAGCCCAAACAGAAGCTTCACTCTTCATGGAACAAGAGCTTTTAATAACTGGATCTGAGAGAATCTTCTCTGTCCTCTATCCCAGAGGTCTCCAACCTTGGCAACTTTAAGACTTGTGGACTTCAACTCCCAGAGTTCCTCAGCCAGCTTGCTTGGAGACCCCTGCTCTATCCCACTGCTCTGATAGTATTTCATTTTTGCTATCTAACATAATATGTTTATTGGTGACAGGAAGCCTGCAACTCCCTTATTAACATTTCTGCACAGTAACAAACTGTTGGGTCCTCACCCTGTAGTTTATTCAACAAAAATATGTTTTTGAAATCCACAAATAAAACTAATTAAAAAGCAATCAATATAAATTATTAAATAATATTTGAGGGTAATGATTTACCAGCAATCAAATAATCAATTGATATTCAATACTTTAAACTAAGAGGGATCTAAAGCAGTTAACAGCCTAAAAACTGAGCCTGCAATGATCAGTTTCCTAGTTTAGAAATAGAGGGAGACAAATCGATACAGCAAGTTTAAGAAAAAGGAGAAGTGGCAATTGCAGATAATGGGCTCATGGGAGAAATGTAAGAAAAAGGACATAATAGAGAAAAGGTTATTTATTTATGATCAGTCAGGAAAAAATGAAAATGTATGACTTGCCCTTATCTACACACTTTTGGAAACTGACTTGGCTTATTTTGGAGAAAGAAACAGGGACCAGAGAGAAGTCACCCAGTTCTTCTCTGATTTATTGGAACATGAAAGTCTTTTTTATTCTTTTCTTTGGAAATTTTGCAAATAAAAGAAAGCAAAACCAAGCATTTCAAGAAATCGGTAATACTTTTCCAATCAGAAACAGAAGAACTTGAAAAATATGCTTTGTTTTCTCTTTCCTAGACTGAGAAGAAAAATAAAGATTTTTTTTAACACAATGAGTACTGAGCAACCAGTTTTGTTAATTATTATTTTAGTCAAAAGGCTGTAATGAAACAATCCGGTTTGTCATAATCTATAACATGATAAATTTGAAGAGTGAAATTACAGATTATTCTAGTGCCAACATTAGTCTATTCATTCACATTCAACATGAGAAAAAGAAAAACATGCATACAAATTGTTATCTACGTAGATTAAGGGTCAGAGAGAGTGTTGAATGGATAAGGAAAGCTGTATCTTGAAAGAGATCTTATGAATATAAAATTGAAAAAATAGTGATTAATGAAGGACTTGGTTTTTAAAGGCTTTATTTGCCAAAAGGAATCCAGGTTCCATTCTTGTATTAACAATTGAAATGGAGAGGTGGGGATAAAGTATGATATATCTTAGAGTTATATCTTCGCTTAGAAAGGCCAGCCTTCAGTTTCCTTAAGGATCATTTTACTCCCTATTACAGACAGGATTTTTTTGTTCTTTTGCTGAGGGCACCTTGTTTATTTACTTGGTGAGGGTCTCTTTACAAATCATCCTACCTGATAGTCAGCTGTCTTCTACTACCACACAAGGAAGCCAGCTTTCACTCTAGAAGTGTGCTGTTTGCTGCAACCAACACATTTGGCCTTATGATTTACACTGGAACATTGAGACAGTACATTGAGCCAATTAGGACAGTTTAGGGAGAGGCAGTGAACAGCAGCTGATAGCAGTTGCTTGTTTTGACTTACTAGAGTATCTGATAGTTGATTGGCTCACATCTCCTTATCTGCTGCTTTAGCTTATTACTCTTAATTTTATTACTTTTCCTTATGTAGTTATTGTTTTTATTTCTCACCTTCACTTGTCACACTAATTGTTTCTCTTCATATCTTATGCCAATAAGAATTTGGGCAGCATACTGTAGCCAAAAACAATAAGCAAATCTCTTAGTGAAATGTACCAACTTAATTTATCCAGAATCAGACAGGGCATAATCCTTGAAAACAGATGTTTTAGCTTATAGCCATATTTCCCAATGCTTTTGTTTTCTTTTGCAGATAGATGAAGAGAGAGAATTGGCTATAATTATAGTACAGAAATTAATACGAGGCAGAGCTATCCAAAACATGGTAAGTTTTGTTTTGTGGCATCCATTAACTTGATGACAGATTCTGTCAATATTTGTATCTTGTCTCCCAACTGTTTGTATTTATTTATTTATTTGTCAAACATGTACAAGATAATAAGTATAGGTATGAACATAAACATGAACAAAGGAAGTAAATACAGATAAATGTGAACATTAGTACAGGGACGGTAGGCAGTCTGGTGTGCTTACGCATGCCCCTTTAAGGATGTCTTAAGAATGGGGTGAGGTCCACGGTAAACAGTTTGAGGCTGAAGCTGTGAGGGGTTGAAGCTGTAACAACGGAATCGGGTAGGGTGTTCCAGGCATTGACCACTCTGTTGCAGAAGTCGTATTTTCTGCAATTGAGTTTGTATCAGTTTTGTTTGTATCGGTTGTTTGCCCATGTATTATTGTGATTGAAGCTGAAGAAGTTGTTGATGGGCAAGATGTTATAGCAGACAATTTTGTGAACTATGTTTAGATTGGACCGTAGGCAGTGCAGTTCCAGATTGTCCAAGCCCAAAATTTCAAGCCTGTAGGCATAGGGAATACTATTGTGAATAGAGGAGTGGAGCACTCTTCTTGATAAAACCATATTAAATCATTTTAAAAAGAAAAGATCTACATCTGCACCCTAACCCATATGAATCATGTCTTTTCAATTGTTTTGAAGGAACAATAAACTATACTAGATTATTTAGGTCAACTAAGATATTCTCATGAAACTATATTTTATATATCCCCCATCATCCCACAATTTAACAGGACTGTAAGAGCTGTCAGGATTCCAGCAGTTACCCCCATTTAAATCATGAATCTAGAACCAAACTTCCAAAACTTCCAAAGGATTTATTGGGAGTTAAAATGTCAAGCACTGCCTGGGTCTAGCCAACTCTGAGACACATAATTCATTGTCACCCTTGACCCTGGTTTTCCCCCACCCCCTGGGTGTATTGGACACATCCATAGCCAAGAGTCATCAATCATGCTCTCCTGTTAGAATTTTGCCCGGCAGAAACTTCAGTCACCTAGTTTCTATCTTTTACTATCTTTGAAAACTATTTATGGAATGTACTTTCAGTTTGCAAGCTGCCACACTGCTCCCCCTCCCTTTCTGTTGGCAACTCTAAAAAGACCATAGAAATATTTTATGAGTTGACATGAACATTATTCAAGCCACTACAAATGCACTGCAACCACCCAGAACCCCAGAAAAAAGGAAAATGACCACCTATACAACATCTTCCAACAAAATGAATACCCATATAACTTTATTAAAAAGCTGCCTAACTAATCAAACCCTACAAGCTATGTTAAGAATAACACGGCCGTACAATAAAAAACATATCAGAAACAACAGACTTACTACATGGCATTACCATAGCACAGAAAGCAATTAAAGCTCTCAAAATATCTTAAGTAAATCAAATGGCCCAGTAGTCCAAAAAGAAAAAAACAAGTCATCTTCAACATACAGTGTAAGAGGTGACAGTGACTGTAAGAACCACTATGTAGAACAGACAGGCACAGGACTAATAAGAGTGCATCCATGAAACCAACTAGCAGCTAGAAGACACTGTGAAATTGGTTAACCTCACAACATACGGACAGATTCAACTATTGTTCATCTGGGAAACTGGACATCCTATAAGCAAGAATTAAGACTAGACAAACAAGCAGAAAACAATAACCTAATCAGGAATTACAAAAGAGAAAATCACATTCCTACAGGCAAGCTACTGTACATAAGCAGGCAGCAAACTCACAATCACTAGCACTGATGAGGTTACTAGTTGAGTAATAAAATATCTGCAAGCAAACAACCAAGCTCAGAGAACATCAAGTCATTCAACCCTAAGCTAAGGGGTGGGATTCAAATTTCTTAACAACTGGTTCTGTGGGCGTGGCTTAATTTGTGGGTGTGGCATGGTGGTCATGTGACTGGGCAGGTGTGACTTGCTGGCTGGGCGTGGCTTGGTGGTCATGTGACTGGGTGGCCATGACCAACTCAATGTCACTCACGTCAAGGAGTGCCTCGCCTGGCCCCTCCCCTCCCAGTCATTCATTGTCACACCCAGCCTCAACTTATCTATAGTTCTGTAAAAATGTTCACCTTTTTTTGACCTTATTATCTACCTACTATAGATGTACTTACTTTCATGGACCGCTGAAAGGAGGAAATTTGCTCAAGAGTATGATAGGCAACAGGCTTTTAAGGAGCTGCCAGAAAGGGGGGTGGGGGGGCAGTGTCCAAAGCACCACAAGGCAAACAAGCAATGGATGGAAACTGAACAAAGAGAGAAGCAAACTAAGACTAAGGAGAAACTTCCTGACAGTAGATAGTAGACAGTTGAGACAGTAAGAACAATTAACCAGTGGAACTGCTTGCCACCAGAAGTTCTAGGTGCTCCAACACTGCAGGTTTTTAAGAAAAGACTGGACAGCCATTTCTCTGAAATGGTATAGGGTTCCCCTAGTGTTATTCTGTTATTCTGATACCTTTCCCAGGACCTCTACTTGGCATCCTCCGTTTTCCTGCCTGAGCAGGAGGTTAGTCCCTTTCAACTCTGTTAAACACACATGTATTTATGCTCTGGACCAGGGGTCGCCAACCTTTTGGACCTCGGGGACCACCAAACTCATAATTTTAGATCCCAGGAACTGTTAACTGGTTCTATGCGCATGGCCTAATTTGTGAGTGTGGCTTGGTAATCATGTGAATATTATAAATATTTATATAAATATTGATTTTTTATTTAAGAGCAACTTTTACCCAAAATCAGGCAAAGCAGGCAGATTGAGTTGCACACAGAATCATTCAGTGATCTATCTATCTGCCATCGGCTAGCTCAGTCTCTCAAATTTGCTTACTGTGAATCTGCACTGAATTTGCTTGCAAGCAAACCTTCAGTCCTAAGGGACGTTCAGCTGTGCTTAAAAGCAGATGATGGTTGGAAAAAGAAAAAATAGAAATTTAGCAGGCAAGTTTACCGGGTAAGGAGTGAGTGGGCGGGGAGGGTTCCCGCGGGCCATGTGGGCGTAGCCTTGTGTTTCTGCGCAGCCTGGATTAATTACTTTGGGGAGGGTGCTCTGGGGGTGAGATTTCTCTGTGGCCCACCAAAAGTTTCTCACGGCCCACCAGTGGGCCGTGGCCCACCGGTTGGCGACCGCTGCTCTGGACTACAGACATGTAAACCCTGAAAAATAACTGGGCAAAAGAAAAGCAGTAAAATCACTCTATGTGTAGGGACAGTGCAAAATATTAATATATGATAAATAATGGAACAATTAAAAATAATAGCACAGAGTTTTCTTTCTGTCCCCCTCCCCTTCCTTCCTATTTCTTTCTTTCTTCCTATTTCTTTTTCTTTCTTTCTCTTTCTCTCCCTTCCTTCCTTTCTTGCTCTTTCTTTCTTTGTCTCTTTCTTTCTTTCTCTCCCTTCCTTTTTTCTTCCTCTTTCTCTCTTCCTCTCTTTCTTGCTCTTTCTTTCTCTCTCTTTCTTCCGCTCTCTTTCTTGCTCTTTCTTTAGTTTATTATGAGCCTTAGCTTTCCTCATTTCATCTTTGCAGGCTCTTTGGTGATATTCTGCCTTAGATATGTGTCCCTCTTTCCACTTTTTATACTTGTTCTTTTTGTCTTTCAATTTATCAGAGAGTTCTTTATGCAGCCATGCTCATTTCTTTTGGGAGCTTTTTCTTCTTCGTTGGTATAGACTGAGTTTTTATAATCTCAGTTTTCAAAATTTCTCAAGCTTCTTGAGTTGTTTTTCCCCTTGAGGATTCACGTCCATGGAATCCCTCCCAAGTTTATTGAAATTAGCTCTCTTTGAAGTCCAAGACTCTGGTTTGACTTTGTTCTATTGCTTGTGCTTGCATAATGTTGAATTCCAATATTGCATGATCTTGCATAGACTCTATCTATCCTGGATATTCTGACATAGAATAGAAACCATAAGAATGCTGTATTTTATATATGTATGTATTTTTATTGTCATTTCATTAAAATATTTTCATTATAAATATTTGTTTAAAAAGTTAAGCAAATTTGGAAGATGTCATTCACTATGATTTTATCAATCATGTTCTCAATATTATAAACAGATGTTTGAAGGAAAGGAAAAGCGTCTAGAATTGATTTGTGAGTTACGAACCACACATGCACTTCAGGAAGATGGACAGTTGTTGAAGAAGGCTGAAAAACAAGTGACTTTGGCCTTACAACGGCAGCGGGATTTGCATGAACATAAGGTTTGGCTATAAATGGAGGAAATTGATTTTATAGTTAATTATTTTTGCAAAATGTATGTAACAGAAGCCGATGATGGTATCTTCCCATCTAGGGAAGAATTCAGTATTCAGAGCAGAGTTTTCAATCAATTTCAGTCTTTGGTGTTAATTAGAATAGAAAGCTATGATGAGTGTTAGGAAAGTTCATTCCTATGGTACCTCAATCTATAATTTTACATCCTGGGGAAATCACTTGTTCTGTTCACTGCAATATCAAAACTGAAATACTAAAAATAAATATACTAATGTTCTTCTTCAAAGTTGTTAGGTGAATTAAAGAGCAAGTGCCTATGAAATATTTGTAAAAACTGCAATAAAACTAAACTAAAAGATTAAAATGAAAAAAATCCTAATGTTTAAACATCTCAGTATAATTCCCTAGTTATTTTCTTTTAGTGGCCCAGTTGGGTAAATAATGGTTGCTGGGAAATCATTAGAGAACATAGAGCATTACTCTAAATTGTACAGTATCTCCTTTTTGTTGTTATATTATTCAGCATTTCTAAGGAAAATTTTGAAGCCAATTGTTATATTAAAATATGTAAAGACTTGTATTGTCCCAGGAAAGCCTGATTATTTTCATAATATCAGAAATAACATAATTTCAGTCCCCTCTCGGGGTGTCAGATTCTAAGCTTGGATATCAATCTCATTAAAGATTATGTTGATGGATTTATGACTCACACTTTAGTATAATGCAGAAGTTTTTTTAAACATAGCTCTGAAAAGCAGATAAAATTGTTGAAATGATAAACAAATTAAATAGGAATGAAATATTCCTGTACTCCCCTTAGATGTCTGTCATGGAAAAGCATTTGGCTCGTGTAGAAGGAAGAGTCCTTGCAAATATGTTGGATTTCCTCTCTAAAGAACTGATTCGACTACAGGATGAGCGGAGAATCCATGCTTTTGCTATGTTGGCAGAAAGGCAGCGCCGAATGCGGGAAGCAGAGGAAAGTGGACGTCGACAGGTGGAAGAGAGACGCAGACGTGAAGAGGATGAGATCTTTAGACAGGCAAGTGTGGGAAATACTATTAAATATGCTCACGGGGGTTTAAGCTAGGTCACGGCACAATTGCATTTGTTCAGATTACCTCAACAATATGCCTTAAACCTGTGTCCAGTATGTGAAGAGATAATGTTTCTGTGAAGAAAACAAGGAGAAAGTCAAACTGCTGAAAGTGGACATAGCTTACAACTGAAGTAGTATTGTATTATCATCTTCATCTCACATCATCCAGTTTTCCACTAAATGTTTCTTTAGCCTCTTCATTGGCAGATTAATCTGGATCACGTTCCGCATTTAATCACAGTAGTGAATTCAGAGAGGATGATTAAAGTACAATTACTTATTTACACAAGACCAATAGGTGCCATTACACTAGTAAGATCAATAAGGAGGATTTACTTCGTTTAGAGCCATAAGAGTTGTCAACGGGTTAGTGTTGAATGTAGGACATCTGGGAAGACCTCTTGGCTAGGCTGGGAAGGCAAAAAAAAAATATCCCCAAAGTGACAATACAATCCTCCTTATTGTATTATTATCAAAAAACCCTGTATGAACATATTCTTGACATCTTCAAGAACTTAACTCAAGGCAGAATTTACTATCCCATACCGAACATGTTGGAAATGCAATGGTGTTGTATACTTTTAAACAATTACATCTAGAAGCATTCATTAAAAGAGTATTGAAAGGAACAAGAGTCTGATCTGGTAGATTATGTTATCCAAGTGTACTATAAAAAGTGAATGAAAGAAGCAGGACAATTCCAAAAGAAAAGAATAGTGAAAAATGATCCAAATAAATTATTCCTAATATGCTTATAGCAGTGGAGAAAAATTCTGATTTGAGTTTTTTTCAGGTTGTTAAAGTACACCAAAAAACAGTTGATTCATATTTAGAAGATGTTATCTTGAACAGCATGGAGAGTACAGCTGAAGAACAATCTAGGGAAGAGATTCAGAGAATGGCTGTAGAAATCAACAATATTGCTTATGAAATGGAAACACGGTATGCGCTCCTTAGGAAATAGCAGCATTCATAAAGTGAACATAACAAAAATGGTTATGACACCACAACGACTGATCTCCTTTGGTCTAGAGCCAACTAATTGCATATAATAAGATAGTTTTTATAATACACAAAATGAACGTTTTGGAAATTTTGTCTGTCTCTGTGCAGTATATAGGTATTCCAAACAAAAACCTCTGAATTTCAGACTTTTTGGTAAATTTGTGCTCAACAATTTCTCTTTTCTTTTTTGAAAGTTTTTTTCTGAACTTTCAAATAGTCTGTTCTCAGGGGTAGAATGCTACCGGTTCGGCCTGGTTCTATAGAACCAGTACCTCTGAAGAGCAGCAGACACCGAACCGGTTTGGTGTCTGCTGCTCTGTTTGGCCCAGCTGCCTGCCCGGGCTCTTGGCTATCCTTTATTTCCTGCTTTTTCAACCTCAGCTGCTTTGCGTGGCACAGCTAAGGTTGAAAAAGCAGGAAAGAAGAGGAGTTTGAAACGCTGTGCACCCGCGCGCAGTGCTTGTCTGCTGTCCGGGCGGCACAGCTGAGTGTTTTTGGAAATGGTCTACACACGTGTGCAAAACGCACTCTTACGAGGGGTGGGATTCTACCTGCCGGAGAACCAGCAAATCGTGACATTGGCTGGCCTCGCCCCACCCACTCACTCCTTACCTGGCATGTGGGCCATCACACTTGCCTGCTAAGTTACTATTTTTCCTCCCCCCCCCCATCAGCTGTTCTGCTGTGCCAGGAGATTTAGATTAGCTAGAAAGCAGGAAATTGACGGATGTCTTGCTTTCCAGCTAATCTAAAAGCAGAGATGAACCTTCTAGGACTGAAGCTCCTATTATTCAGTGCAGACTCAGGTAGCAGATGGCAGAAACACAGATCTCTAAGTGACTGTGATTCTGTGAGCAACTCAATCTGCCTGCCTGCTCTGCTTGATTTTGGGTAAAAGTTGCTTTTTTTTAAATAAAAAATTCAATATTTACATACATAGTGTGTTGTGAGTTAATTTTATGAGTTTGTTTGCAAGCAAATTTTATGTGACAGACTCAGGTAGCCGATGGCAGAAAGATACATCTCTGAATGAATCTGTGATTCTGTGAGCAACTCAATCTACCTGCTTTGCCTGATTTTGGGAAAAAGTTGCTTTTTAAAAAATAAAAAATTCAATATTTACATATTTATAATATTTACATACAAGCCATGCCCAGCCAGTCACATGACCACCGAGCCACACCCACAAATTAGGCCATACCCACAAACCAGTTGTTAAGAAATTTGAATCCCACCCCTGTCTGTTCTATTAACTCACTCCTTGTGTGATTTGAAGTTAACAGGATATCACATGTACTTTTTTAAAGTGATCTTCCTACTCTCTTCATGGAAAAAAAGAATGCAAATCCGTTTCTTTTGTTTTCCTGCAGCAATATTTTTTATCATTTTGATAATTGTGCATGGAGATGAAATGTTACTGATCCTGAAAAAGGATTGAAATAACTGTGGACCAAAGAACATTTCTTTTTCCAGACCCTTTTACCTGCATTATTTGACCAGATGGTGTGGTTGTCTCATTGTTTAGTACATGAATAACTAATGCTTTTGGTATGAAAGAGAAAAGAACTTTTTAAAAATGTAACTATTTTCATGTATCGTATCTGATTTTTTCCCCCTGTAGCCAGAGTAATCTACAATCTGAAGAGATTGTGGCAGAGCTAGTTTATAGCTTCCTGATCCCTGAAGTGAGAAAAATGACCATTAAGGAGAAAGGTGAGAAAAAGAGCACCTTTTTACTTCTTGCTGTTAATTTGAATTCTGGCTGCTTTGTTCTAATATCCAGCTATGCAATGCTTTTATCTACTGAACAATTAATTCAAGGTAAGTACATTATCAGTAAACCTGCAGCAAAGGTAAGTTCTATCCTTGGTATACCATGTTGTCCAAAATAAACTTGGCAAAGACAACAGAATCTGTTGGGTTCAGTCTGCCAATAATTATGTATTGGGGTTTATCACTTAAAATCATGCAGAGGTTTTTTTTTCATCTGTGCAATTACACAACCAGGCTCTGTGCCAGTACAAAGCACAAATCATTTGGATCAAGGCAGGAGTCCTTATTCCATCCCCGACAAATGATTGTCCCATATTATTTTGAAAAACCCCTGCAATGAAACACCCACAATTTCAGGAGGCAAGCTATTCCACTGATTAATTATTCTCATCTTCAGGAAATTTCTCCTTACTTTCAGGTTGGATCTCTTTGATGAATTTTCACCCATTGCTTCTTGTCCTGCCCCCAAGTGCTATCAAGAACGGATCAGTCCCCCTCTTCTTTAGGACAGCCCCTCAAGTGTTGGGAGACTGCTGTTAAGTCTTATTAGGCTAAACATGCCTAGTTCCCTTAACCATTTATCATAATATTTAGCCTTCAGGCCCCTTATCTTTGTTGCTCCTCCTCGTACTCTTTCTAGGACCTCAGCATCTGTTTTATATTGTGGTGCCCAGAATTGAATGCAATATTCAATACCAGTGCAGTATAGAGTGGTACTATCATTTCTCATGATCTGGATGGTATCTGTCTCTGTTGATGCAGCTTAGGACTGCATTGGTTTTTTTGGCAGCTGCACTGCTGACTCATACTTAAGTGGTTGTCCACTAGGACACCTAAATCCCTTTCACAGGCACTACTGTTGAGTCAAGTACCGCCTATTTTGTACTTGTGCATTTGTTTTTTCCTGCCTAAGTGCAAGGATTTTGGAAATCATTAAGTTATGAAGTTAGCTTTGATTTTCTTTGGTCCTTGGTGCCGACCTTCATCTTGAGGAAATAATTGTAATTCTATACAATTATTGGCAATTAGCTTTTAGTGATACCTGTCTACTGCATTTTGCATGCTTATCTCACCATTATATATTTCAGATGCCTTGGCTTGTAGCTCAATATAAAGAAATAATTTCTAATAATTAAGGGTCTGTTGGGACTTGTTTGATGAGAAAGCCAGTGATGTCACATCTCTTGTAGTAGAATGACTGGCACACCCTAAAAGGTTGGGTTTCTACACTATGTGCTTTGGAAGACGATTGTCTTCATATGTTTCTATGGAGCAGGCAGAAAAAAGGGGGACTGAATTTTCCCAACTCATTGTTGGTCTCTCTCTTTTTTCATTCTTTTTCTCAAAACAGTGAGGCAGGCTCAGAGAAAGCATATTCATGCTGCTCATCAGATTATCCATGGAAACACAGAGACAGCAGTAGAACAGCTCTTTTCCACAGGGTTTCAACAGGCAACCAGTGTAGATATTCCTCAGATCGGATTGCTTTCTGTTACACCTACTGGTCAAGATGTTGTTAAGCAGCAGGAAATCAAGCCACCAGACAGTCAAAGCCAGCAAGATAAAATGTACGAAGACAGCCCTTGCATTGAATCTGCCAGGCCTCCTGAACAATGAAGCAAAAATATGGTAGGTTTAGACCAAGGTTTGTTCTTACATTGCCTCCTCAAGGATACTACAGTGTGTCTATCTAGCAAGTGAGTGCCTGTCAGTCAGCAACACTGTCAATAAACTACTGCTGCTTTAATTGTAAAATATTTGATTATATGTAAATTTGTAAGAAAATGCTTTGGGAAGAAGCAAATCTGTTGCCCACATTTGGGGCACAGGGATGTGGGAAAATTCAGGCTGGTAGAGGTGTCTTGAATTATCCTCCCATGGGCTGAAAGAACCGAAGTTCTTCAGTTATGATCATTTTCAGCGCAAGAAGCCTGCAGCTGCCACTCTTTGCCAGCATGAGGGTCTGCAGTAGCCACAGAACCGGGGTGGCTGGAGGCTTCTCACGCCAGCAAAAAATGGTGGCTGCAGGATTCTCACACTGGCAAAAGCTGGCAGCTGCAGGATTCTTGCTGGGGGGTGGAAACACGGCAAGTCCCGGCCACCTTTTGGGCCCTGCTCTGGACTGCTTTCTGCTCGACCTCCACTTCGCCTCAGGTCCCGCGTCCAGCCTGCGACAAGGGGACATGCCACTTCCAGGCCAGCCCGGCCGGCAGATGGGCAAGTGGGTGGCCCTCAGGGGAGGGATTTTCTCTCAGGCCTCGCACTTGGAAGGCCCCACGGAAGCTGAAGCTGTGCCCAAAATGTTGCCAAACCTCGCCATGTGTCGTTCCTCCACCAAGGCAGTCCTTCGGCTGAGAGCAGCAAGCCGAGTGGATTTTCCTTTCCCACCGTCGGCCTTACCTTCTAGCCCATAGGGCCAGGGGTGGGATTCAAAATTTTTAACAACCGGTTCTGTGGGCGTGGCTTAGGTGGTGGGTGTGGCTTGATGGTCATGTGACTGGGTGGATATGGCTTGGTGGTCATGTTATTGGCTGGGTGTGGCCAACTCAACATCACTCACATCGAAGCACGCATCTTCTTGCCTGGCCTCTCATGATTGTGGGGATGCTGCAAGTCGTAAGTGTGAAAAACGGCCATAAGTCACTTTTTTCAGTGCCATTGTAACTTTAAATGGTCACTCCACACAAGCAAAGTACCAGCAAAGGAAGAAAAAAAACTCCAGAGAAGTTCCAGAGATAGGAAGTCCAGTCCTGCCAAGAATGTAATAAGGGTTAACGGAGAGGCAGTTTCTGTAAGCAACACCAGAATGTTTCCTTCCTGCCTTCCTTACAGGATTAGGCCAGTAATTTCTTCTAACAACCGGTTCTCCAAACTGCTTAGAATGTTAACAACCGGTTCTAGCGAATAGGTGCAAACTGGTAGAATCCCACCCCTGCATGGGGCTTATGCCGGTGGAGGCGCCGGGGAAGGCCAGAGCCAGGCACTTGTGTGTCCCCCAACCCAAGGTGATTCTCAACTCCCATCACTCTCCCTCCAAAGATGATCAGAAAGCATAACCAATGCTGTTTCAATTTCATGTCCAGGTCTGAAACCTGAATGAAGGGGTAACCTGCTTTATCCAGGATTCTCTGACACTATTGCATGTCTCTTTTCTCAACAACCTTCCCTAAAAAAGGGAGGAAGGGTAATTTTAGACTGATCCTTCAAATCAATGATTCTGAAGAATGCACATCATGGCGGCAGATTTTTCTCTTGGAAAGAAAAGCTGAGAAAGTATTATAAACTGCCATTCAAATAGCAGATATATATTTTCATTTATGAATATTCTAACTTGTTGCACATTTGTTTTTGGATTTTACTGACTTATCAACTAGTGAGGAATCTACTAGAACCAGTATTGCTTTGGGAATTGCTTTAGAATATGATGTTTTATCATCAGTTCAGTCAAAGGCACTTCCTTGTAGAGCAGGACAAGGAGAGGTATGGGCTATGTTTAAACAGAGTAAGATGTCTGGTAATTAAGTTGGTGTCATTGGGTCCCAGGGCTTTATTTTCCACTTTCCTCTTCTCAGTCCAGCCTACCAACTGAGGAGATAAACAAGGATAAACAGCAAACACTAATGATGTCAACTGCCTTGATGGAAAATTGGCAAGGAGAGGCTGGAGCCTCCATATGTTGAATGCAGAGGTAGAACCAACACTAGTGACCATACTTGATTGACATGATGACTAGAAGAGCTGGATCCTAAAAGAAATTCCCCCTTCATTAGGTAATTTGAGGAGGATTCACTTTATAATTTCAATCTCTGGTGTCAGTACTAGTACACAAATAGGGTGAGCAGATAGGAACTGTCCCCTTTTGTCACCAGCAGATAGGAACATGACAGAGGAGCCAGGATGCCCAACAATGCTCAGATAACAAGAAGTATCATGGGCTTTGTGGGATGGTGGCATGAGGTTGGTTTGTTTCGCCCACACGGGTTGGGGCAAACCCATCAATCTTGTCTCCATCTTCACCCTATTTGGGTTTTGGGGCAGCCTTTCAAGTGAATTGGAACAATTTGGGAATGGCTTCTCTATTGTTTGAAGGCTCATTTTGTATGATTGGATTCTTTTTGCTGAATAAGCAGAGATATTTACACAGGACATTATAACAGCTAGTATTAGCTGTATATATACTTGCTGAATGAGCAAATAAGGGAAGAAAAAATATTTTTGTCATAAACGTTAACCAAATGAGGAAACATTAAAATTTTAATACATTTTTCCCTCTGAGCCATCTTAAGAGTCTGAGTAGAAAGGCAGGTTATAATTTGCCTCTGAATTTTTGAAGGGATCAGAAATAAATAACAAACTTTCTACTTTTAGTTGATAGTAATAACTGCCTTTTATGACCTGACAAGCAAAGTCAATTTGGAAACCAGTTTCACTTAACAACCATGTTACCAATTTACCAACTGTAGTAATTCACATAACAACTGTGGCAAGAAAAGTTGCAAAACTCACTTTAAAATGTTTCACTTAGCAACAGAAATTTTGGGCTCAATTGTGGTAGCTGAGGACTACTTTTGGACAGTCTTGTCATTAAACCACTTTGAAAAAATATGAGGACATTGATCTATGACGTTTATGACCACTGCCACTTAGATACTAATATTCATCAAATGAGAATAGGAAGCAAAATTGATTTTATAGTAATTAGAAAATTACTAGAATTTAGGAACTGGAAGATACAATTTCTTTAAATACCGCATATAGTATGCTGCTTGTTCTGTTTTATACTTTAAAATTGGCAATAAAACACATACAAGGTGTTTCGATAGGACATAACAAAATTTAAGATCTTACAAAAGAGAACCATTTCCATGAGGTGAGAAGGTAAAAACTAATTCAAATCACATTACTGGGACTGGGCAAACATTTATTTGAAACACTCTGAAGTTAGAGCATGAATTGGACACTGGGGTGTCTGCAGCATCAGTTAACTAGCATGGCTTATTTTCCATACTCTAAATCTGACAACAGCCCCCATATTTTCATTGTACCCATCAGCTTTCCAGGATTAGCACTCAAGGCTAGTTAAGATGACAAGAGACGGCAGATACCTACAACATAGGTAGCAAGTGTATTTATAGGCATAATTTCAGGTGGAGGAGCTTGTATAAGATGATACCATATTTGTCTAGTAGTATAGCTATATTGCCCATTTGTTCCACATCAGAGTGCAATAAAATAAATCATGAAACCAATGAAGAGTGGGATGCTCTGGTTCAGGATGGATCATTTTTACACACGTGCGCACATACACATACAATTTTACTGTATAACTATTAATATTGTACTTTACTATATCTTTTTTTAAAAAGTTAAGAATCAATCGGATTGCAGCAGAGGATAACTGTAACTAATAAGACTTTTTTCTTTGTCATATTCTTTAGCACAGCCTTTTTTTCCCCTCAGTCCGTGGGATCCCAAGGACTGTTCTGTAAATCCTGCTTTAGTCTAGTTTTGCAGCAGTAGCATCTATGCACCATCAGTTTACTATGATTTTGAGAGAAAAGATTTTATTAACTTAAGCAAATAACATGCAATTCTAACAGAATATTTTTATCCAATGGATAATTAGCAAGCTGCTTAAAAGTTTAGAAAAATTCTGATGTTCTTACCACCCTTATAATTTAATTCAATTCACTAAAATACATTTTAAATTAAAGGAGTTGCTCCAGGAGTGAATGCTAATGCTAGGATTGTACCATCTTCCTTGGTTATTGGCATATGCGGCAATCTCTAAAGAGTCTTCATTAGTGCCAACTTCAGTTCAGGAGTTAAAAATTTCATTTTGGCATGGATCCCTTTCAGAGCCTAGTGAAACCTATGGATTTCTCAGAAATATGCATTTAAATGCATACAAAAAAATTAAAATAATAATAAAATAAAATGTATAGATCAAATGTATCATAAAGGAAATCCAGAGATGTGTGTGTGTGCACACATTGGTAATTTCAGAAGATACTTTAATGGAAAGAATCAAATAACTGAATACATATACTTTTAGACTAAGATTCCTAATCACAAGTGATGGGCCATCAATCTATAAAGTAAGTTTGCCGTTTAATGGATTCATCTTAGCCAAGTGGATCAGCAGACTTGACCTTTGTATTTTACCATAGTAAAAGTAGTATAACAAAACAGTTCCTTCTGGTCTGGTGGAGAGTCAGGATTGCTAAGAGAGCAATGCAAGGAGCTATTAAGAAAGAGAAGGAAATTGGCACAGAACTGGAATCTGCGAATTTTAACAGCAGAAATGAACCATTAGGTAGTATCACAGTGAATAACAGCAAAGAATTCACAGGACAAAATGGAAAGCATGAAACAGTGGTCAGATATGTGTGGAAAGGACTTAGTTCAGCACGATTTAAGGTGCTTTCCTGACTAGATTAATAAATTAGGCCCTGATCACCCCTTATTTTTATTAATTTGATTAATAAATTTATTGATTGCACAATTGAAGTGTGGCAAGTGCCCTGGATGATATAATCTAATTTCAAAAAGAACTGTTGGAATTGCATTGTAGTCACCAGTTTAGCGATACTCTACCAATACTGATGAAATAGCACTTATTCCTGATGATTGGACTAACTTGGGTAAGGCCAGCAAAGCTGGCAAGATTTTGGAGGACTATTCCACAAAATGGAAAATTTAGAACTGAATTCTTCCTGAAAAAAAATCACAATCTGAAAAGTTGAAGGGTAAAGTGGAAATGGAATAACTTTTTTTAAAAAAAACACCTTACTATACATTAAAATACTTCTCTGCTGTAGAAAAATAAGCATTGAATATGTGTGTGCACACACATATACACATACACACACACACACACATTTGCAGTCAAGATGTGAAACTTTAAAAAAAATGGAAAAAGGGTCTCACATGAAAACAACATCATAGAAGGAAGGGAAGAGAAAAAGACAGCATATCTAAGTAAGTTAGGAGAAATAGAACAAGAGAAATCATTTTAGGAGAAGCAAAATAAAGAAAAGGCAGCAAGCAAGTATGAAATAGAAAAGCAGGGTGGGAGAAGAGAGAAAACATTGTAAACAAGCAAGCAATAAAGGATGGATTTACTTCTGATTCCAATCCATTTTAGCTAGCTGAAGAGATGGCAGGAATCTGAAAATGAAGCTTTTATGCTTGTTTCAGTCAACTTCCTGTATGTTCCGATTCCATTTTGTCTTACTCCAGGTAGCAAGTCCTTGTATAGTCAATAACAAATGAAGAGTCTCTGGCAATATTGTTTTTTTTTATTGAAGCAATAGTCACATGATTTGTGCATCTAGCTTTTTAAAATATTGACAGATTAGATTTCAGTGGTCATCTGACCTAAGTTTTTTGCTTGTGCATATAAACATCACATTTGATAATACATGATCAAGGACCAAAGATCAGTTCAAAGATAAATAATGTGCTGATACATTAAAGGAACAGCTCTGCCTCATACACAGGGTGCCCTCTTAGAACCAGCACCTGATCTAAGGAAATGCTTTAGAAAAGCCCTTAAGCCCACCTTCTGGATGAACTATTCAGCAGAGGCATAATATAAGTTAAAGAAAAGATGGCAATTTCAAGTCCTTTTATTATTATATTCCAACCCATCTTCTGAGTGGAGAAGAGGGACAGATCTAAAAAAGAAGCCACACCAAAGAGTCCAGGTAATGGACAGGAAATATTTTGAAATAAAGACCACACACTGTAATTTTTAAATTTCATGACCAGGCTAACCTACATTTTATTTAATGCAAATTACAGTACCAGTTAACTATTTCTGAACCAAGTCACACAGAACATAATGTATTTACAAAGGAGCCGAAGGGAGGAGATAAAATAATGAACATTAAGCATACATACCACAAAAAGTTTATACTTAAAATGAAAAAGTAATCAGTCACAGAGGCATTCAAGTAGTAATAACGTTATACATGTTTTGCTTCTTTGAGTCAAGACAGCTTTGCGTGTGTATGCAAGAGTTTGTATACAACCCACAGTCCATTATATATATATTTAGAACTCTGCTTTTAAGATGAAAGTGATCACGTTAATTGTGTGTACAAGCCCAAGTGATCAGCAACATAGTAACAAATGCAAATTTTACAAGCAAGCATATTATTTATATATATAAATGGTTTTTTGTGTTTTTTCCCAAAAAACCAAGAACAAACAACACTAGGAAGAAACATATCTCAAGCTAACCCTTTAGGTACCAGTCATTTTGCTTTTATTGCCTTGTTGCAAAATGAAGCAAGGAATTAGTTCCTGTAGAAATATTAGGAATTAAAAGGAGTTCTGATGAGCACATCTGAAAAATATCAGTCCTGGGCTAGACAACAAACTGTGCTTTTTATTACTGGCTTTGATCTCTAGAGGCTAAGATATTTAATGGAGAAAAATGCTGATAACATTTTTAATTTGGGATTGTTTTAAATTAACAATAATTGCCGACATCAACTATTTCTTGGCTTATTCATAGAAGGAAGCTTGTTCAAGCACCAGCTAGATGACATTAAAATAATCTGTTTAAAAAAAATCAGTAACATTGTTTGAAAAGGACATACTTCAAAATTAAGATTACTAGTGCCTTTTTTCTGATTTTCAATGAATGACACAGAGAATATCATTAATGCCATTTTAGGATTATGCACAACTGCAACGCAGACTAAGGATAGATTGAGAGACTATACGGTACTTCATTTAAAAACAAACCATAAAATTTAAATTCCAAGTGGACTGTCAGAAACAAAATACTTTCACTGACCTTTATGTCGCCAGAAAAATGGCATCCTCTGTCTTACTGGAATGAACAGAAGATGATTACAAAAAGCTTTTAAAAAAGCAACCTTTGGTTTGATAAAAAGTTCAGCATTTCGCCATTAAAAAAACCTCATGTAGAATATGAAAAGTTGAATATATATGAGCAGAGTTTTAAAAGCAAGGCCCTTGTGTCGAGCACAAAAAATAACGTTCATAAAAAAATTGGCAAGTAAATGAGAACGGAGGTGCTAATCTATGGTAATAGACACTTAATACCACAACTTTTTTTCTGTCCAAAAAGGCTTGCAAGATTATTAGATCTAAAATATACAGGTGAATGCATGTGATCCCTGTTCTTCCCTCCCCAGTTACAGTTGCTTACTTATTTTACAATGTCCAATTCTGTCTCTGAATGAACAACATGGCCAAGCAAAAGCTCTAAGCAGCAGTGATCCAACAGGACCCACTGAAGAACACATTGGGCAAGAAAAATCTGTAAAAGATAAACCTGTCATTTTAGATATCAAGATGTTATCTACATAATGAAACCAGTTGCAGTGGGGATATACTTAAATAAGTGAGCAAGTGAATACTGGGGAAAATGGTGACTATCCTGATACTGCTGAGCCGTAACTCATTGCTATCGATTCATCAGGATGAGAACAGCCATGGATGTTTGGGTGCATTTTCTTTTAATGCTGCTACTGACCATGAAATGGCTGAAAAAAGGAAAGCATATCTGCACCTATGAGGCATCTGTTACAAAAAGGAAGGGAAAAAAAATCATGGAAGCAAAGGCACTCCAAACTATATAGATACACTATACATTGCTAAAGTTATCGTTACAATAATACAGGCCAGTTATCTACTGTACATAGTTAGAATTATATGGCTTTAAAAAGCTTGTCTACATTTTGTCTGATTATTAAAACAAATTAACTGCCCTGAATGGTAACATTTGTTCATTAATAACAGTTCCTGTGTCCACGTATTTACATATAAAGCAATACAACTTAAAAGTTTAAGAACTAATGTACATACTTGAATTTGGTGAGGAGCTTTTGTCAGTTTATTTACAAAAAATGATACTGAAACACCTGGATCTAGATTTATATAAAATTTTGCTTGCAGTTCTGCCATGATCCTTGGGGGGGGGGGATCAGGATCCTGGTTTTTACACACACATACACACACACACACACTAAAAAAAGTGTTAAAGCTTTTAATTATTCTCTCCTATTATTTAAACCAATGAAAATAATACAAAACCTCCTAAGATTTCCTATTTCTGAATTCAGACCACAAAACTGAGCTTTGACTATGATGGCCACCAATCAACATGGAAGATGCCAGTGGGCTCAAGCCATGCAGCAAGACAGTCTTTCCAGGCCTCTCATCCATTATGGATTATTTTCTAGTCAGCTTTAGTTTTTGAAAGATGGCTTCCCGGCTCGTGGCTCTTAAAAATAGTTTACGTAATCATTTGTGTGGTCTTTAAAGTCATCTGATTTTTTTTAGAGAAGCCGCCACTCTTTTCTGACCATGCCCCATTCTCCATTTGAGACCCTACTTCTCTTAATGGCTTCACACCTAAGAAATGAATATAAACTACTTGCTCTCCTTGGTCCAAATCTAATTTCAAAAGGTTCACCAATGAAAGATTTTGCAAGGTAAAGTGAATTCGATGTAAAGCTAAATAAGTACAGCTATCAAATCAAAGAGGAAGCTAGTCACAAGAACCCATTAGTGCTTCGTGCATTAGTAATGACATTTTTTCTCAAACTGTTTCAAGGCATATTGCTTTCATGTCACAGAGACCTTTGGCCACAATTTAATTATCCAGAACAAAGACATAGGAAACAGGAGCAAAGGTTAGAAAAGAAGAGACTGAAAAAGGTGCATTTAAATATAAAGCAGGATTTAAATCTACCCTGTTAAATAAATCTATCAACTTAAAAACACTGCATGCTATGAAAATAGTATGTCCATTCACATTTTATCCTTGCATCTTTTTCCCAGTGTTGTTCTTCAAGAAAGAAATCAACTTAGAATCAAAATGAATGAACAGAATGCAGGAGGAATTTTCTATTTTCTGCACATGGAGGGATATGCACACCTACTCCCATCTACTGAGGTGTGGATATGATTAATCATGCTTTCTTCTATGCTTTCCAGATTTTTTAAATATCCAACTCCTAAAACATTGGGATAGGTACATTCAAGCCAATAGTGTATGTCTGCAGAATTCTTTAGAGGCAAATGAAATTTAAGGTGATTTGTTCCTTATTATTTCAAGCTTTTTTTTTTCCACACTGTAACTTCCCTCCTCCTTCATAATTCCCTTTGGCAACTCAGCATATTGTAGCACCTCATCTTGTTCTTCCTCCTCACCTAACACGAAGACATTTAATTCCAGCAAATAATACTCAAGATGAGCAACTTCTGTTAAACTCCTAACCAAATTCAAGTTGTGCACTACACCAAAAATTGAAACATCACTTAAAAATACAAGGCTTCAGCAGAATGAGGGGTTTCTTTCTTTCCTTTTTTCTGGTGATGGCGGTGATTGTTGGAGGACGTCAGATAAGATTCCTGATTCTAAAGTACACAACAGCAATTATTTGAAATTAGAAGATTGTCATGGGAAGAGAAATTTGGTGTTCTAATAATCCATTTCCCTTTTCCCACCCCACTTATTCCCCTGCCCCAAAGAGCCTGCAGAGTGAGCATACAATGAAACTGGTTTTTTACAAGGTTAAATAAGAACAACAATTTTTAAAAATCCAACACTATAATGAACAGTTTTTCCCCTTCTTTTTACATTTTCTTTCCAAATGTGACCAGTATTGCTGAGTAAGACTCAAAATTACTGGTGATTGTTCCTGTATAAGCTGCTGCTTGAGATCAGTTCAGGTGGAGTTGGAAGCTGATGTAGAAGCTACATTATTGGTCTGAACTCGATCACCTGCACTGGCATCTGCAAATATCAGAAAAAAATATGAAAGAGATGGTTACATGTCAATAGTATGAAGTTTTATGCATAAGCTTTTATTCTGCCTTTTGTCCCAGGAAGAATACATGAACTAAGGAGAGACCCAAATTTGTCATCTAGAAATGGTGTATTCCAGAGGGAATGGCATCTTTGGCAACAGAGGTTATAGTTCAGAATGTTTTTCATCTGCTGTTGGACATGCTCTACACATTTTATTTACTGAAGATTAGAGTTGCTTTTGGACTTCACAGTTCTAAATGGTATAGTAGCCAAGTATATGAACTTCTTACAAGCACTTTTTATGTGAAACATGATTTACTGGACTTCTTGTCACAGGGTTGATAGTCACAGATAAAATAGCTTTCAAAGAGAACATATTGAGTGTATATCAATAGTTATTAGTGGTGGCAAAAGCATAAACACTTCCAGAGATTTGCAAATTATTTAACTCATGTGTATAATGGTATGTGGGAATGACCTTGGTACACAGGGCAATGAGACACCGACAAAGGAATGATCAGATAAAAGGCAATTTAGCCTGCAATGGGATTGTAAGTGGACAATTGGCTCAGAAGAGACTCTCCCTGGTTCCTTTGGTTTTTAAGAAGATGGAGAGATGAACTTTCAGACTTGCCAGATTCTCTTAATGTAACCTTAAAATAAAGTAGAATTAGTTCATCTGGTTGTGTTTCCTGTTTGTTCTCACTCAACAGGCTGACATTGGAAGTTGATTGAAACTCAACTCCTAGTGACTTCATGAACATGCCCATATAGTTTTCTCAGTAGTCCTTTGCCTTTTAGGCTAATTCACTTAGGATAAATTGCCTTTACACTCTGTTAACACAATGTGACTATGTAGGACCCTCTATTATTTTTCCTCCCGTTCCAAGTCTCACGAATGATTTTCTTTTCTTGACTAGGTTTCACTACTCATTAAAAACTGATCAAATAAATGTTTGCTTGGTTTAGTGGAATTTTAGGAGCCAATTATAAAATCCGTTCTTTGTATCTCCCAAGTCCTACTATGCTTTCCTCCAGTGGCAGGGCAGTGTATGTATGTCCCATTCCAGTTGCTCAGTTAAAGCAAACAGGACCTTTTAGGAATACAGAAAAATGCTGTACAGGAATATCATTTGAGTATCAATGGCAAAGGCATCCTTCATATTGCATCAAAGAAAGTCACTCCTGTATCGTATTATGAAAACCATATTAATACACCAGAAAATCTGATGGTGATACAGTGCATCTTGACAGGCTCCTGTAAAGATATATGAAAAGAATCTCAGAGACAGAATAAAGAAGTGCTGCATAATGAATGGTCAGATGAGAGAGGGCATAGCCAACAGATGCATAATGGGTCTGAAAAGAGACTCCTAGCTTCACAGGCTATAAAGGAGACAGTGGGAGAACTATCTGTTCTTTCACATAAAAGAACCATAAACTACAATTAGCTCATCTAGCTATGTTTCCTGTCCAGTCTACCTAGCAAAGCTGACAGCTCCTCAGACTGGTTTGGCTTGGTACCTCACAGGCATCCTGCCATTAAAAGAAAGGGAGGGGGAGGATGAAAGGAAGAAGGGGAGGGGAGGATGAAAGGGGGAAGAGATGGGGAAAGGATGAAAGGGAAATAAAGCTTTGTGATAGGAAATTGGGAGGGAGAAATGACAGTTGATAAGGACCAGAGCAGCCAGATCCTGTTTGTACCAGCATCCCATGGCCAGGCGCCCTGGGAAATATGCAGATTGTCAAGCTAGAGAGGAAACCATCTCCACCATGGGGACCGTGCAAACGATATCGGCTCAAGGGAGCAACCAGGAAAAGATCAAGCCTGGGGGGAAGCATCCTCAAAATCCTTTCCTGGAGGGCTGGATCTATCTGGATGGCTGGGAGAGGACAAACCATCAAGACCCCAAAGGTCCCTTGGGGTCGGGAAAAAGGAAGAATGGGAAGAGAAACCCACAGGAATGACATTCACCTGTGGGAACCATGGCAGCTGGTGGCAAGAGACCCGAGTGGAGCTGGAGGAACTGAATGAAGAATCAAGTGCCGGCGAACTGGAGTGAGAGAACTGGACGCTGGAGCACGTTCTTGGGGGTGGGGGCTTTTGGTACTCAAAGCTCGAGAAGCCCAACCGCGGGGGCACATCCTGATGACCAGCCAACTGCAATCCCAGCAAGCGAGGGGCAACTACCTCTGCCACCCCAATGGCAGCAGCAACGAGACCCTCGGCAACTGCAAACGCCCCAGCACCTGGCCCCACAGCCCAGCCTGCATCAGCTGCAGGAGTAGCACCAGAAGAATTGAGAGGATGCAAGACACTATCCCTGGGAGTAAAGTTCAATGGAGACCCCAAGCAATTGGGGTTTTTCCTGGCACAAGTTTGGACATACATGCAACAGTCCAGAAATAGCCACTGAAGGGACTAAGGTGCGATGTGTGACCATGGCGTTACACGGGTAACAGCTGAATGGATGGTCACCCTCCACAACTATGATGCCCCAGAGCTGAGAAACTTTGACCACTTCATGGCTCCACTTCAGAAGTGCTTTGAACACCCTCTAGTCAATCACAAAGCTAGAGATCGCATAAATACCATCAGCTAAGGGTGCGGGGGGGGGGGAGTACACCCAGAAGTTTCATGACCTGGCCCGCCAACTGGCCAGAAGACATCCTGATCAGATGTTTTCAAGAAATGCGGGTTCTAGAGCGTTTCCCCCTACCACCACCAATGGCTTGTTTGTGCTAGCAGAGGAAGTGGAAATCAACCTGGCTCGATCCAAATACCGGCCGAGGTGTGGATGATCCCCACCTAAAAAGAAAGAGGCCTCAAAACTAGTGCCCATGCCATGGCTTCACTGGCTGCTTCAGGAATGGGAAGGAGGGTTCTCTGGCTGCTTCAAGTATGTGAATGAGAGGCACTGAGCTGTTGACTGCCAAACTGCACACCTAATCCAGAAGGCAACTTGGGGTCCTGCCCAAAAACCAGCAAAACCACAACAGCAAACACTTGAAACTGCCCTAAAGGGAGTAGAAGTCACAGAGTTCACCCCATCACCCAATGAAGGTGGGAGTACTCCAACTGACCTGATCAGCAGCCCAGTGGAAAGCGAGTCGGACTACAAGATGATCCCTTGGTAAGTCACCCAGTCAACCCAGTGACCATCCTCATTGAACTGGAGGTTTAATCCTTGAGGATGGATGCATACACAGAGACCCTGAGTTTCATCGTAGCCCTGGAATGGAAAGGCCCTTGTGTTAGGATTGGTTTCTCTTCAGAAATGGAAACCATTTGTGAACTGGAGGAGGGTCTGCCAAAGATCTGGCAAGCCAGCTGTGAAGGGGAGAGGAAAAAGGTAATCAAAAATCTATCCCAAAGCTGCAGTAGGAGAAACTGAAAAGGGAGGTGGAAGTAGCTGATCAGCCCCAGAATGATCAGCCCCAGAATGACCCTCAGATCCCCAAAGAGTACTGAGATGCATTCAGTGAGAAGGAATCAGACGCACTCTTACCCCCCCATCAGCCAACTGACTGTTCCATTGTAATCCTACTGAGGGTCAAACTATCCAAACCTAAACTGTATTCCATGAGACAAGAACCTGAAGTGTGGATTTACCCAACCGGCCAGACCGAGGATGGCTGCCTCAGTACTTTTTAGGGAAATGAAGGATGGATCTCTTTGTCTATGTGTGGACTATCATGGACTCAACGTGGTGTGTGTGGAAAACATTTATCCACTCCCCCTCATAAAAAACATGATAACTCATATGGCGAAGTGAAAGATCTTCACCAAGTCGGATTTAGGGGAGGTGTACTACCAAGTGAGGATCAAAGCAGGGGATGAATGGAAAACTTATTTCAATTCTCCTTAGGAAGCTTCCAGTTCCGGGTCCTCCATTTTGGACAGCAAAGGGCCCCTGCTGTGTTTATGCAACTAATAAACAAAGTGCTGCATGAACACCTGTAAAATGTAGTGTTGTACTAGCTGACAATACCAACTTGCTAGACAAATAGGAAGGGAAAACCCAAACCCACTCAGCTAATTAAATGTACTATGGGATGCCAGGCTGCATTCTAAAAGCTTAGGTGCTTGTCTGCAGATCCCAATGGCCCCTTTGTCATTCAGTTCATGGCCCCATTGGAGCCTGAGCCTGCAGAGGAAGACAAGCTGGAGCTGGGGCCAACGAGGTCGAGGGGGAACACAGGGAGGAGAAGGATGAGGCAGCCCTGGGTCCTTTGGGTCAGGGATGGCTTGCCAGCAGGGAAGAACGAGGACAGGACGACTGAGAGAGGGAGGAAGAGAAGGTAGACAGTGAGGTTGAGCGAGAGAGCTCAGGCGATGAGCAAGGACCATCCATTCCTGATCCCAAGCACAGAGAGTGGAGAAAAGGCAGGAGCAGTGCAGGCTGATTTGATAACTTTGGAGGAGAGTGCCTCACCCTTCACAAGGCATACCTGAAGACTGAGACTTAAGGAGACACTGTGGGGAGCGGCCATTTTGTGTGGACTTCTTACCTTCTTGCTGCTTTGTTTCTTTGCCTCACTAGACTTCTTGCCCTGAAGCTGTTGTACTAACAACATTTTTCTGGACTACTTGCAGTCAGAGGCTGCTGAAGGTGGGTGTGAGTGCTTTGCTCCGGGACTTGCCATAAATGTGGCAACATTTGGGAAAGTTGGAGCAATAAAGGGGAGTTTGAACTATTAGCTGGCTATGTGGCCTCTGTATCTTGCCCCGGGTCATCACATTCAGGCTGATGGCAATGGGTGCAGTGCTTTTAAAGGAAAACAAACAAGGGGTCCTGCAGCCCTGCGCCTGCACTTCTAAAAAGCTAAATGAGATGGAGTAAAGATGGGCAGTCTGGCCTGTGGCGTGCTTAATTCTGATCTGTGGGGCAGCCGTGGAAATAGCGAAGGACCAGTCCACAGTGCCTCTGCCAGCAAAAATGTGCGGCCTCCCGGGCTCAGTTTTCGCTAGCAGAGGTTTATCA